TGATGATGGTACTGATGATGATAATGGGTGATGATGGTAATGATGATAATGATGATGATGATAATGATGATGATGCTGATGATGATGGTGATGATAATGATGATGATGGTACTGATGACGATGATAGCAATGGTGATAATAAAGATGTTTAATCCCCTGTAATGTAATCACTTTCCCAGTCACATACCATAATTTAGTGGCGGTGGATTCTCCATGCTTGTTAACGACTCTCCTCCCAGCTGAATGTTCGGCAGACTACTCATGGATGAAGGGCGAGAACTGTTACCGGGTTTAAGGCGAGCCAGGTGTAAAACTACCTTACCAGATGTACGCTGTAAAGAACACTTCATTAATGTTTATTATGACAGAATAGAACAACTTGGAAGCCTATTGCACTGACATAATGATACAGAATGAAAGCTTCCAATAACACTACAGTAGTGCATGCTCTCAAGGCATGAGAAATGTGCTGTATAAAAACTGCATTATCATAATAGGTCTCTGGACTAAATGAAGCAAAAACGTCTATAGTCTGTACTCAGTTTAAAATCCCATCCAGTCCTCATGGTCAGCTTTGAAATATTACATAAAAGTTCCCATTGATCGTGATAACATTTACAATATTTATTAGTAACTGAAGGGGTAAGCTACCCTGGTTAAATAAAGGTGCTATCAAATACCCCATTCACACCAAGGCTTAAACATGTTTTAAAGTGATTTAACTAAACAGGTTTGGAAAACTATCTACGAACACTGCACAATCTTTGGTGAAATAATACATGTAAACTATCCTTTGTCTTGCTCTGATAATATTTTAGAAAGTTTTACTATATTGTAGGTTTCTAGTTTCTCAATTTTTTTCCTAATGAAAACATAGTTTAACTAAACACGTTTAGGTGTGAATGGGGTATAAATATCTGTCAATGTGGCAAACGTTGGAATAATGTTCACACCAACCTAATGACACAGGCTACCCATGAAATGATGGTCATTCATCAAAGGGAGGAACAGAGACCCTTTTTACCTTAAGCAGACTGGCTGCAACATCTTGCGTTGCATTCCTAAGGTCTTCTCCATTAACTGAGAGGATCTGGTCACCAGGGAATACATGGCCATCGTGCTCAGCTGCGCCACCTTTGACCTACAAAAATACACACAGAAAATCCACCCCAGTCACTGCAAGACACGTTTGTATTGTAACGTTTGTATATGTAACAGGACTCAATGCTGTCCAATTAAGAAATAATTGGACAAGGATTTGACAAGGAATAATTGGACAAGGAATTTTTCGAGTCTAATTATTTCTTGATTGGGGAGCATGAAATCCCATTACCTATTAATTATATAGCTGCCTAATTAATCCCATATCAACAAGACCTGTCCAATTAAGAAAATAATTGGACAGTTACCGATATGGGATTAATGAGAAGCTGAATAATTATAAAGTTTATTGAGTTGATTTTGTATGAATTGGCATGACACGGCACAGCACGATACGCACTGGACGATCGCAAAATCCTTTGAACAAATCAGAGAGCGCGAAATCACTGCATATCCAATGAAAATGCTTGGACATGGCATTGTCATGGTCACGATCAGGGCAAGTGTGTCGTAACACAGAAGACTACTTACCACGTCCGATATGAAAACTCCTGTATTGTTCCTGTTTAAAGAAGGGATAATATTATTAGCTATTAATTATAAAGATAAAATCACAGATAACAAGAGTGTGAGGAATTTTACCTTCTGCCAACAATACTCAGACCCAGTCCCTGACCGGGTGATTTCATCAGCTCCACAGTCAGGTAATCAAACGCATCTGTAGATGAGACAAAGACTGTTAGCATAAATGGAAAGAGTAGTAACGAGATTGATCGGGTTAATAGTTGTTTACATCTAACACATGGATTACGCTACAGTTTGTTTGAATGAGCGATCTTTTTGGCGAGTTATAATGGTATAAAAGATTCGTAACAGTTGCTATAACACAACCTTCATTGAAGCGATCACATCGTTCTACCACCCAGGTATAACTTACCTTCATCTTTGAACTGTGATTCATCACGAAGTACTTTGAGTCTAACATTGGGAGGTGTTTGACGTAACGCGTTGATGGCCATGTCATGTGTCGCTTCACGCAAGTCAACGTTGTTCACCTGATATAAAGTCCATTAGTAAGTAAAACAAACTATAGCGTTACTTATATCACGTAAGTCCAGATCACTATCGACAGTTTTAGTAATGATGACAAGGCCCAAAGGCCACGGGGTGCGCCTTTCGTTTTTCATGCACGCATTGTTTTTTTGAAGATCAGCGTCCCTATCGAGGACGTTGTTAAAGCTACAACTAACTTCCTGGTGGGAAGACAACGGCACCTGCATAAAACACGTTTTTATTTGCTTTAGCGTCTTCTTTATGCAATCTCTTCCGACGCGCACCAATCACGCATTGTTTTCATGCGCAAAGGACAATTTAAGTCTCATTTATTTTTCAAAAGGATCGTACACCTACTTCAAGTATCTGGTCACCAGCCCACAAGCGTCCATCCTTTGCCGCTGCACCATCTTCGTACACTTCATGGATCACAATAGCACCCTGGATATACGCGATACATAAGATAGTGATTAACTGAATATATGTGCGTACAAAGATATCAGAAATATCTAGTGGTTTTGTCTGATGGAAAGAAACATAGTAAAATATAATGTAATGCAAGAGAGTATACTTTATACTTGATACTCATATTTCATACTCTCTCGTATAAAAGTACCAAGAAATTGTAACGCACCAGTAAGGTGTCTGCACCTCCAACGATACTCAGTCCCAGTCCTGTGGTTCCTTTGGGGATTTCTATCAGACATTCTTGACCGGGAATGATAGGAGCTTTTCGGGGGTCTGGTGCAGGTGAGCTTACACTGATTGACAGCGAAGACGACACTGGAAAAAACCCAAAACAAATGATTGGGTAAGAAGAAAACAATGAAGAGAGAAAGGGAGTGAGAAAGGGACGACGGAGGGGAGGAAGGGAGTAGCTAAGGAAAGGGAATAAAATCTTCCAGATCATTGCTTAGCCAATCGAAAAGCTCGCAAACGGGGCCGTCATGGTCACGGTACAGTCGTACGAAATCAGCTGTAATGAATCCATCTTTCACTTACCCGGAGAAGCCTTCGATAGAGTTGTATTGCTTGTCTCTTCTTTGACTTCGGGTACAGATACCTTAGGTGCTGGTTGAGAAGGAGCATTAACGGGCTGTTGTCGCCTGGCAACCACCAGAGATACATTGCCATGGGTCTTCTTTAAGATATTAACAGCCTGGGGAAAAATGTATTAAATCATATCGTATTTCTACATGTGATTTCGTACTATAACTGATCTCAATATCTTCAATAGGGTAGACCTTTCTACAGGAATCCCGTCAGGCTAAATTTCGAGTCTTTTTACTCCCACTACCAAAATGCTTCGCGAATTTCCTTTTTTATTCTAATTTGTAGTCCCCCTGTGACTAGCTAATTGACTGAACAAAAGAACGTGTGCAAGGGAGTCCGGTAGTGGTGTTGAATGACGGTATAATGCAAATGACCTATAACAAGTTTTTTCCGTTGGGGCCGCCATGTTGGATGACAAGACAAACGCTAGTCCTCCAGCATGGAGGCCATGACGTCATATGCACGTCGAGAATTGGTAGGTATAATATAAACATTGTTTTGCCCATCCACTAGAGCTCTACGGGGAACACCTCCAAAGGGATTATATTTCTGATTATTCTACTACCTCTGCGTGTGAGAGTCCAACAACGGCTTGGTTATCCACGGCTATTAACTGGTCGCCTTTCTTCAGACGACCATCCTGTAACAGCACATTAAGATCATGTCAATACTAGGCAATACTGGCTGGGACAAGGCACCGCAATGGTCACGGGACGGCACGTGCGTACCGTAAAGCTTTTATAGTAATAAGTGCTTTTTTCACGCAAATATAAAATATTTTCTATTGCTAAACAGAATAAAATGCAAACACCTTGTTGCATGCTGTGAGTATGCACAATAGTGTGACAAAAGCCTTTTAGGTCCCCTTCTTGAGTCGAGGGTTTTTCCCCTGGTTCTCCAGTTTTACTCCCTCCTTACTCACTCACTTCAATCTGTGAATTAGGCTTGCCATGATTTTGATAAGCCCAAGTTGTTTCTAGGAAAACTGACTGACTGAAAAGATTCCGCCAAAAATTAAGTAAATGCTATTTAACTCACCAGGTCTGCTGCGCCGCCTTCTGTGACGCTTTTAACGAATATCCCAGTCTCTCCTTCTCTGAACCCTGGACCTTCCACCACAGCAAACCCAAGACCTGTTGGCCCCTTTAACGAGACAGCATCAGCATTTAGCAGTTGGTATAGAGATATGAGTTGACTTCATTGAGTTGGAGGGAGGGACATAATGTAAATGTTGTGTACGAAGGAGTGTCACGTTATGTGACGTCTGTCACGTTATGTGATGCGCATACACTGATTTCACCAACCTTAACAACATCAATGTATTCCACATTCTGTCCTCCAGACAGCTCAGCCAGAAGGGTTGGGGAGACTGTCTTAGCAGCAACAGGAGGAGGACTAGGTCTAGCAGCTGGTGGTGACGTCACTGCTTTTGGTTTGGGAGCAACAGGCGGAGGACTGGCCCTAGCAGCTGGCTGTGACGTCACGGGGCTCGGTGTAGGACTGGTTCTAGGCTCTGTTATTCTGCTGGGAGGCGATTCTATTGGCTGAATATTTAGAGGTTTAACTTCCGGTTCCGACGAAGCGCCGGTTCTCGCGAGGTATTCGGTGCCCTCTCGGGACCTTCCGAGTATCAACTCGACGTCAGCGGCCGTGCTCTTAAGGATAGCAGAGGCCTGGTAATGAGATAGACCTCTGGCTGAGATCTGATTGACTTCAAGGATTTCATCACCCTGTATAATACGACCGTCCCGTTCTGCAGGTCCTCCTTGCTTGACGTCAACGATAAAGATTCGATTCAGAGCTGCTCCTTTGCCTCCAGCGATACTTAACCCTATCACGGGTGGAAAAAGATTGTGGTTAAACTGACGGCGCTTTTTCTCACTGCAGTGTAGTTCGTGCCTGGGGTCTCGGGGTCGTGGGTTTGATTCTCGACTGAACCGCATCTGGGAGTTGAGTTTGTTTGATGTGTTATGCTCTCCTATGCTACGGGTTTTCCCCCCAGGTTCTCTGTTTTCCTCCCTCCATAAAAAACAACATGTGAGTTGAGTGTTGTATGTTGTAAATATAGAACGTAGTGGTAGTGCGTGTGGAGTGAACCTCATGGAAGAGCCCCGTACAGGAAGTGACGGTTTTAAAATAGACATATATGTTTTTCATAAGGTCATGGGTCATGACCTCTTGTCACTCTGTATACTTACCTAACCCTGTATTGCCTTTATGCAGATTTATTATCAGGTATTCCCCAGTAACATCGGGATATTTTCTTTTCATTTCCCCTAAAGTCAAAAACACTAGTCAGCTTATGACTAAATTATAGCAACTAAAACCTTAAAATTGCGTGACTAAACTTGTCACACTTATGCAGTAGTGTCACGAAATCATCCCTATAAAAACAAAATATTCTTCATTCGCACATGACGTCATAGCCGCCATCTTGGTTGGATCTCTCGAAATAGTATTTCAGGGGTATGACGATAACAAACGAATCCGGGTAACAACTAGGTACACATACTTAATCTGTCGTCATCTTCAATCAAATCTCCTGATTCAGCTCGTAATATGACGTCATAGCTAGGTTTAATTATGTCATCAGTCACGTGTTGCTCGCTTTCGATGGACAGGTTCTCGGATGGGATGGGAATATGTTTTTTAAAGTCATCTTCGTCAGGGAACGTGGGTGAAGGAGATTCTTGGCTTATTTTGGAGGTGACTGGCGTGACTGTACTTTCGACCTGTAAAATTAACGAAACTCTACCGTTAAAATACCTTTAGAAAAAAAATGTAATGAACGACCTTCCAAAATATGCGAAAGCAATCCTAATTCGCTTCACTTTATAAGACAAACAAAGTGAATTCTGGTCTAGATTGGGTACAAAGTTAGCTTGACAAATAATAGATGTTGTTACCCAAGGTAGACAAGGATGCACCATGTCTCCAAAAGGGCTTTTCCTACGGTTGCCTTGAACAAATTTACGAAGCTCAAACAGACGACCAACCTGAGAATTTAGATCGAGAAAATGTGAAATGTGTTTGCTTACATTATCGTTATCGTCCCTCGCGATTATAATAAACAATTATTGGATAAGGTTTTGATAATATCCGGAATTATCAATGTCTTGATAAGTGTTATTGGCCGAAGCCCTAGGTTGTAAAAATGTTTGTTACAGTTACATCACCATAATCTTATATCACATTTACCGAATATTTTAAAATCTGTATGAAAAATTTAAACAAGATAGGTTTCTCTCTATTTTCGGGGGGAAAACTCTTTTTAAACCAAGGAGAGATTGAACCAAAGATTAATTTGAACGAAATGTAACTATTAAGAAAAAACTTGGTGTCTATTGAGCAGACGACAAAGTAGTGTAAATAGAATTAGGAAAGAGATATATTGGCTAATAAAAAATTAATTAGAAAACGTAGATGAAAAAATATATAAATAAATTCGCAATATTTTGAAGAGGATTCCAAAAACCACAACGAGGAAGGGTTGAACATTATTTTAAGGAGAAAAGATAGTTAGTAGAGATGAATCGAGCTTGGGATTACCTGCTCAAACAGCTCGTTCTGAAACTTGTGAGATTTGGATTTCCCGAAACCAAAAGGCATCACTAATAGCGCGATGATCAAGCTACAGTGATCTTACTAGAAGGTGTCCAGAGTCTTTAAATCATGAATTTCATTAGGATACGGTATACACTAAAGCCTAGAGAGACTTAATCCTAAAAGCTACCGAAAAATGGTGAGTGAAGCTAAAGAGACCAGTTGTGCTGTGGTGCGAATAATGACGTAGAGAGCGATGGATGGATTACTAGACATAAACATTATAGGATCAGACGAAATAGAAAAATATGAATGAAAACACACTGGGAGGAGCGTGATAATCAAATAAATAAGCAAATGAACAAAAATAATCAAAAAAACTATCTTGAAAAACAACTTGAATCTAAAATAGTAAAACCGTTATCAACTTTTTTTCAGCGCAGCGAATCTTTTTTTAAATTTGTCATTTAACTCAATGTCAAATCTTTATTCTTTCAAAATTAACCTAAGCCGGCCCATATCCTCTATTGCTAGTATATTAATGTATATTATATATTATTCATCTTATTTATGACAAATTCCAAGGCGAGTGGTCATCTCCCCTGACCACAGTCAACAGAACCATGTTACCATGGAAACCAAAAATGTCAAATAAAGGTAGCCCACTTACTAAAAAAACATGGCATAATATAAAATTACGTTGTATGAAACAATGAAGCGATGCTTTTGTGCAGTATTAGTCAATGGTTTCTCAAATACAAGAATATTGGTTACTGCACAGGGAGTCCAGTAAGATCTTGGTACATGACACAGGTAGCCCAAACAATAGGAATTTTCATACTTACGTTGCTTATGTTGTCGATGTCCACCTCTGTATCCACGGAATGCGACATGGACTTGACAACGAATTGTACAGGGTTTTTAGCTTGTCTTATTACCTCCACTGCTTCGTCGTGATATGCATTACGAAGGTCGTGTCCATCCACCTAAAAATAACATTCATTGTTATAAGTAACGACTGACTGTCTATTTATCTGTCTGTCTGTCCGTCTGTCTGTCTGTCTGTCCGTCTGTCTGTCCGTCTGTCTGTCCGTCTGTCTGTCTGTCCGTCTGTCTGTCTGTCCGTCTGTCTGTCTGTCTGTCTGTTAGTCAGTCAGGCAAGAAGGCAATCAGTCAGTTTGTTTGCCTTTTTGGGATACACCTGTAACGTATTAGCTTACCTCAAGAATTTGGTCACCAGTTTTCAGCATTCCAAGACGGCCGGCAGCACTGGTCTCCAGCACATGCCGTATAAAGATCCCCTTGATTCCAATTCCTCCCGGCCCGGATTTCCCGCCAACAATACTAATACCCAGTCCACTGTCTGGTTCGCGGTTCAGCTCTACGACCCGTATGTCATCTTGTTCAAACGGGGCATCAAATGGAATTGCATGGGAAATTTCTGTTTGTTGTTTGTCTGTCTTTCTGTTGGTAGAGAAGATTTCACATGAGTGGGAAGCCTGTGGCACAATGACACTCAAAGGGCTTGATGAACCAATCAAAAAGCACTCATCGTACATCTACATTGCTGGCTTTCACTTGACGTCATTTCCTGTCGTTTCCATGGTGGTCAGTATTGATAATGAGATTCAAAGACTTTTATCAGCTGATTGAAACCCACGTTAAGCATAACGAGTTTTAACAGATCAACTAGGGCAGAATTCGTTTGTGTAGGGTTACGGTGACTGTTTACCAAGCATTTTGATTGGATGAGCAAGTAGCCCCTTGTACTCTGTAACTATGGCAACGGATGTAAGTTTTGTGGCCTTATTCTGACGCTTGTAATGATTTTCTCACAAGCATGACCAAATATTGAAGAAGAAACGCGCGCTCGTGTTCTGTGTAGTATTAAGATAATTGAGGATTGGTAGAATATGAGAAAGTGTTAGAAGAAGCACGATGCGTAGAAGTATGGTTTTACCTGACTTGCTCGTTTTCTATCGTGTACCCCTGAGAATCGACTGATGAAGTAGAGCTGTCATCCACATCGAAGGATGTTGGAGATCGTTGTACTGCACGCTCTGGTGACATGTCTGCTCTGATCACTGTGAACCTGGGGGAAAATGAAGAAAATATAAAATGAGGAGGCGAAGGAAAGAAAGAAAGAAAGACGAATGGAATAAATGAAAGAAGGAAGGAAGAGAGAAAGAAAGGAAGAAAGTAAGAACGAACAAATAGCAGGAAGAAAGAAAGAAAGGAAAGGAGGAAGAAAGCAAGGGAAGATAAAAGATGTTGGAGATGGTTAACTTACTCAACGTCTTTTTGTAGTGATTGTTTACGTAGCACCGACCTGAGGAAAAAGTAAATACACGATGTAAAACACAGAAGCAATAGCAGAAGAAATAGCAGAAATAAAACTAAAATACTGTTGCTGCTACTGCTTGATATATATGATGATACGTGATGATAAGGATGACTGATGATGATGATGAAGAACATGAGGAAGAGGAGGAGGGTGATAATGATTATGATGATGGTGATCAATAAAAAATATGATGGTAATGATGAGGTTAATGATGATGAGGAAGAATGTGAAGATGAGGATGGTGATGATGAGGATGACGAGGATGACTGATGGGATGATGATGATGATGATGATGATGATGTCTGAAAAAAGGTTTAACGATTGAAAAGATAACATATAGCCTGGCTTATATTGATGATATCGATTAGAACGAGGATATTTACTTTGATGCCTTGTTCGATAGTCCAATCATACTCTGATCGTTGATAGCCACGATGTGATCACCGACACCGATACGATTATCACGACCCACTGCTCCACCTCGTAACACTGACTTGACAACACATCCACATCCATCTGCATCACCTTTCAGGTTTATACCTACGACAGAATATCGATCATTTACGAATCATTATCGACTTATATTTATACCTACGACGACAGAATATCGATCATTTACGAATCATTATCGATTTAGATTTATACCTGCAACGACAGAATGTCGATCATTTACGAATCATTATCGACTTAGTATTATTCCTGCAACGACATCATATCCTTTACGAAACATTAACGACCCTTTATGTTAGTAATTCACATATATCTGTACCATCCATTTCAGGGTAAAACGTGAAACGACAGAATATCCATCGTTCACGAATCATTATCGACTTTGAATTAAAGTTCGCTAGCGAATTCAGGTTGTACCTGACCTGTGACGAAAGAATATCGATTATTACCGAATAACTATTAATTTCGCCACGACTGACTTAAAAGAGTTTTAATTTCAATTTATCTGCCTGTATGTCTTCTGCCATATTTCCATCCTTTCCCATTCTGTTAATCCCATTCATTCACTTTTCTTACCTAGTTTTCCCACTTCCTGTCTTCGTATGGTGATGGTCTCTATGCGGTTCTTGATGGAGTCTGGTAGATTATCCAAGTCTATTGAATCACCTGAGAACAGTAATGGCGGACCAAAGTCGAACTTGGATGACAACTCGCTGCTGCTCGACTCAGATTCACTTGTCTTGTCATGTTGACTTGTTTCTAAAACAAAATAAAATCACTACTGTAAGTAAGGCCATCTGAATACAATGTTGTGCATTTTAATATTGCTATTTTTTCCTAACTTTTGTTTTTAGATACCACATATTATTTCATCTCCATTCCCACCTTATTCCCAATCTTTATTATCCCATCCCATATGTTCATTTTTTCGTCTCATCCTATTCTCATAAATCTTATTTTCCATCAGATTTTCCCATCCTATTACCATTTATTTTTTAACAATCTTCATTAATCCCACATAGATTCTCATTAATACTGATATTTCCCATCCCATTCTTACCTATTCATTTACAATCTCCATAATCCGATTCCCATCTATTCGTTCACAATCATCATCATTTCATTCCCATCTATTCATTCACAATCATCATCATTTCATTCCCATTTATTCATTCACAATCTTCATCATCCCATTCCCATCTATCCATTCACCCACCTAGATTCTCATTAATACTGATATCAGCTTTTCCCTGCCGTTCTTCTTTGTCTAGTTCCAACAGGTATGGCATGGCTGCATCTGGGGGGGATTCTCCTAGATTACTCTCTTCATCATCTGATACAGGAATAGGTTTTCCTACGCCTATCAACACCTCTCCTGTGAGAAATAAGATAAAATTATTCCAGTATGTAATAGAATGAATAGAATGAATGAATTCCTGGGCTCGGCATCGCATACATTAGTGAATCTAGGGTGGTGTAGCTATAGTGCATTCGCCCTCCACCTCTGAGTTCTCAGGTTCAATTCTTGGACTCGGCATCACATGTGAGTAGAGTTAAATTGCTAAATTGCTGATTTTGGTCAGCCCAGAGGCTGTTTCAGAGTTCGAATTTTGAAGGCTTTCACGTGCAATTCATAAAGGATTCAGAGAATGGTAGTACATGAGAGACATAGCGTCCTAATACTATAACATACCTTTTTGAGTTCCTTTCAGTGTCTGTACAGCATAGTCCAGTGATGCATGCTCCAGATTAACATCATTGACTAACATCAATCTGTCCCCTGGGTGTAGCCTACCGTCATGTTCTGCTACCCCACCAGTTACAAGACTACGGATCACAATGGCCGTCTTCTCTTGGTTGGCAGGATCCTGGGTCATAAAAATGAAAGAACAAAAACCTATGACCCATCATTTGCCATAACCCTAATTCTGGAACACCATCTTCTTGGGGTTTAAAAAAAGCCACTCTCTAGAGCAGAATGACATGGGAAATGGCTAACATTGCATTGTGTCTGCCCTACCAGCATCACTGCGATGAACACCCTTTCCTCTGCCCTATCCCTTTCCACAGTTTCGGGGCCACGCTTTTTCTGCCCTACACTTCTCCCCATCCCTAAAGGAATTCTCCTTCTCCCTAACCCCCTCCCCTATGAGAGTTTCTCTTCTTCCTCTCCCTCTCCCCCAGGGGAATTGCCCTTCTCCCTTACCCCTCCCTCCATTGGAGGTTCTCAACTTCCTCTCCTCCTGCTCCAAGGAAAGCTTACCTGATAGTCCAGTATACTAAATCCCAGTCCTTTATCTGCCTTCTCCAGTTTGACGTACTTTACTTTGTCTGACCACATGGACTGACCACTTACTGACTCTCTTGCTGGTTCAACACTAGGAAAATCCTGGGGTTGTGTTTCTACACCAGGAGCTGAGAAGGAAAAAAAATATATATTTATTTATTTATTATGATATTTAAACAGGGAACCCAAAAACAGTATTATTACTTTTTTTATTGCTACACACTGATAGAGACAAGCCACCAAACAAAATACTTAGCGAATCATCATAGGCTGTGAGGGTGAGAGGACTTATTGTTTTAGTCAAATCCAACTAGTCGGTCAAATATTTAGATGCAAACAAGTTTTGGATTTAAGTTAAATTTAATGTTTTAGTTTTCAAAGCTGGCATTTTTCGCTACTAGTAGATTATAACTTATAGCCTGCTAGTAGCTCATCCAATCAGAATGCAGCATTGATGATAGGCCCTAGTTGGATTTGCCAATAGACTATATTAATAATATATTGATAATATATAACAGTTAAAGTAACATTACCTTCCTGTACTTGTATGCTGCTCTCTGACTCAAGCTGATTCGTTGTCACCATTTCATAGGGTTCTTCTTCATCATCTCTTCTTCGAGCGACAACCAAGCGGAAATGTATTGGCAGAGACTGGATGAGGGTGACCACTTCATTGTGACCCAAGTCAAGCACCCCGATGCCATTAACCTAGAAACATTGCCCAAGGTAATTCAACTTGTATAACATTGATTCCTGGATAGTGGGTCAAGGAGAGGGAGAAGAGCCCACCTAACCCTTGTTTCCAAGCATTCCCTTGTCAACCTGCTATGCTGACTTCCATAGTTCAGTAGCTCCTTTAACGGATGACAGTCTCTCAGGGAACCAAAGAGAGAAACTTCAGCCTGGACATCACACTCTATCCTCCAGTTTTGTTCAAGCACCCATAAATATCAGGAAACGTTTTTTAAGATGCAAGATTCATCATGTTACAGCACTTCTGCTTCAAGTCTTACAGTCAAACACAGGGAAAAAGGCTAAGAATTATTCATTTTTGTTTCATTGATACCTCTATGAGATGATCCCCTGGTTGTATGGTTCCATCTAGTCCTACTGGACCATGAGGGTTAACAGTATGTACTCTGTGCCAGGGTGGTGAACCATCTGTGATAAAGCAATACTAGTTACATATGATTGCTTTTGATAGTATGCGCAATGAAAAAATGAAAAGATGAATAGATGGGATGGATAGACAGATGGGATGGATGGGTGGGCTAAGTGAAAGAATGGTTGGAATGCACAGGATGAATGGATGGATGGGACAGGTAGGAAGAATGAATAGATGAATGGATGGGATGCAAAGGATGAATGGATGGATGGGATACGTGGATGAATGGTTGAAATATATGGATAGGACAGATGGTAAGAATGGATGGATGGATTTATGGGATGCAAAGGATGAATGGATGGATGGGATACGTGGATGAATGGTTGAAATATATGGATCGGACGGATGGGAAGAATGAATGGATGGATGGACACCAGATTCTCACCATGTGGATATTGTGTTCCTTCAAGACTAATGCCGAGCCCTCCACCAGGACTTGTCTTTTCCATCTCGGCAACCTGAAACAAACAGAAGGTCAATATAACAACAACTAACCTTAACCCAAATTTATGTGAACAAGAAATTATAAACCCTTCAACCAACTATAGACCCTTGCAGCACTTTGGAATGCATCTCCATCTGGGGGACAAAACAATAGGTTCCAATTCTCAGGAGATTGGAATTCTTTCGTTTTGTCCCAAGATTAACCTGCTTTGACGTCACATGCAAGGGGTCTATAGTGATGAGTACTGTGGACTACTCACAAGTATCTCAACGTCATTGCCCAAAAGTGTCGAATAGTGCTGCTTAATAGCCTCTGTATCCAAAGTCTGGAGTTCTAAAGAAGTCATAAAAAATCAAATAAAAATCGTTTTGATGCTCTTTCATAAGTAAAGAAAAAGAACTTTGGTAACACAAGATTAGTGATCTACCAAGAATTAATCATGGTTGATTAAAATTTTTATTTGAGGATAAGTATTACTTGAGGATTTCTCATTTATTCATGAAGGTAAAATAGAAAAGACATACCTTTTTGTAACTCCTGTTCTTCCACTTCTGTTACTTGAACACTTGGAACTACAGAAACATAAATGTATTTCTTTAAATATTTTGACTTTCTTAGCTTATTAGTTGGTAATCCAAGCCATTTCAACTTTAATAATAATAATATTATAATAATAATAACGGGGTTGTTATATAGCACATTTTACATGGTATCAATGTGCTTCACAATCATGACCAGTGGAGGACTTTATGGGCTGCGTATTTAGGTGCTAGTAGCAGCTGTGCAGCTTACAATCATGAATGATTTGTTAGTAAGTTAGTATTGATGCCTCCAGATTGGGATAGGCTGTTGAACCGGGAGACAATCCCCTACTCTCATACGAATAATTCAACAGGTTCTTTTATGTCCCCCATTTACTGTTGGTTAGGAAGGGTTGGGAGACAGGGCCTATGGTTTTAAGTCCTTGTCCGAGAAGACTAGAAGGTTTAACCATTTGCAGATGTAATTACAAAGGCAGCACCTTCTCCTCAGTTATTTTAAGACCCTGAGTGTTGGTCCGGCCGAGGCTTGAACCACGACCTCCTGCACAACAGACCGACGCTCTTACCAACTGAGCTAACCAGGTGGTGGTTAAGTATTTCTATCTTTAAGTATTTTTTGTCTAGTATTTTCTAGCTGTAACAATCATGCAAAATGTCAGCCAACAAACCAGAATAATAACACCTACTCTGAGTAGTTTCTTGAGATTCCATTTGCTTTTTACCAGGAATGTGTCGTGCAACCTTCAGATTCACTACTGGCCCTGTTTGCTTTAAGATCTCAACAGCTTGTTGATTATTTTTGCCATGTAAACTTGTACCATCCACCTGTTAACAACAATCAGGTATGTAAGCGAATTGGCATGACTAACATACTGAATTGGTATTTATGAATGACTTAGTAATTACGAAAATGCATAATGGTATTTTGTGGAGGACTTTAGAAAACCCTGCAGAGAACATGAAGAAAAACCCTTCAATTGAGGGAGAGAACCAACGAACTCTATTCATGTTATTCTGCATCTGGGAAATGAACTTTAGACCCCAGAGATGAAGGGAAAATGCACTACTACAGTACCCCAAAATCCTAAGTCAAAAGCTTGTTGCTGTTACTTGCCTCAATAATTTGATCATTGACTCTCAATTGTCCATCAGATTCTGCTGTACTTCCTTCTATGATACTTTTAATAAATATACCAGATAATTGATCTGGAAATAGAAGTATCAAACTCTTAGCATTGACAACATTGTCATCATCATTATGACATCATCATTCAAAACCATCACTGTCATCATCATCAATATCACCATCATCATCATCATGATCCAATAGCATTACTAGTATCACTGTTGTCATCATCACCATCATCATGATGGTCCAATAGCATTACTAGTATCACTGTCATCATCATCACCATCATCATGATGATCCAATAGCATTACTAGCATCACTGTTGTCATCATCAATATCACCATCATCATCATGATGATCCAATAGCATTACTAGCATCACTGTCATCATCATCAATATCACCATCATCATGATGATTCAATAGCATTACTAGCATCACTGTTGTCATCATCATCACCTACCGTTAACATTTTCTCCTACGTAACCAGCAATAGTTATTCCCAGTCCTCTGCTTCCTTTTTCAAGTTTGATGTCGAATGTTTCCACACTCTGATCTCCCTGGAATTTTTATAGATATTCAAAACGATATGAATAAACCATATTCCTTGTTTTACAAAGGAAACACTAAACAATCCCATTGACTAACAAATTTGCAGCCCTTGTTTCTTGATCACATTGGAAGCACCATATACTACAAATTACGAATAAATTGGCATCTGACCAGTGTGTTTACCTGATTAACTGGAATCTCATAAGATGTGGCAGGTACCATTCTTGATATAATAAGCTTTACATGCTGGTCAGCTTTACGCAAGACCTGTGCCACTTGTTCACTCCCCATTCCTCCCACATTGACATTACCTATCTGCATGATCTGATCACCTTCTCGCAGATGACCATCCTGTTAAGAGGCCAAATTAAAATTATATATTTTTTCATCAACTGTTTATACCATAAGCATGATTAATTCTGATAGTGTCTCTTTATACCAGCCTAGGTGAGCCCAGCCTAAAATAACAGCTGGTCATGAACAATGGCAAAATTGGTTTTAGTTCAGTGATACCTGGGCTCAACATTAATGGCTCAAAATGATTAGCAAGGCAAAGATTTGACTGCACAAGCTCTAATACCCAAAACCTGGACATTGTCAGATGACCAGCTGTGTGGGACTAACCAGAACCTAATCTAATCCCTTAACCAACATCTTTATTACAAAACTACAGCGATTACTTACCCGATCAGCAACACCTCCTGGTAAGATGGTTTTGATCGTAACACCAGAGCTCCGCCCACCAATAATTCCAAATCCCAGCCCTCCTCCATCATTGTGTAACGTGACAGTCTCAATATGACGCACATATGCCTGCTCCTCCTCTTCTGCATCCTACAGAATTTTACGCCATAATATTGTCAATAAGAATTATGCAACACTTAAATCATTATTTCTTAAATTATCATTTATTATTATAAATATAGCTAAAAGCTCATAGATTCTTTAGAGAGCAAGAATCTTAGAACTTGATATGGAAGGAAATAAAATGAGAACTAATAAATGAAAGGAAAAATGAGAGGGAAAAAGAAAGTGAAATAAAAGATGCATAACAACTTATAAGGGAGTGTGCCCCAAATCCTGCGTCAACCCTAGCAGTAACCTTAATGCCAAAGATTTTTCAATGCTGTCTGACTAGCATGAGTGGGGGGGGGAGGGGGGGAGTGGGGGAGAAAGGTGGGTAGGGGGTCAAATAACCAAAAAAAGCTAGAAATCACAATAAATGAGTACATACTTCCACCTGTTCTGCAGGAACGGCATCATGATCAGATGTGCGTGATATAGAGCTAAGATTAGAAGGAGTCCTAGATATCACTGAACTGGCCCCAGAGGTTGTTCTTGATATATTATCAGGCCTTGGCGCTGATCCTCTAGCAACAATGAGCTCTACATTTCCTTTTGTCTTCTGTAATATTCCTATTGCTTCTTGGTGCGTTATTTCACTGTCCAGGAGTTGTCCGTCAATACACAATATCTGATCACTTTCATATAGACGACCATCTCTATAAAATTCAAAAATTATGAATATGAGTTAATGACTTCCATCATTTTATTTATTTTTTGATTCGTTAAAAATGCAGATTCTATTTACCTTCCAGCAACGCCATTCTGTTGTATTTCCTGAATAAATATTCCCAGTTCTCCTCGGTTTTCACTCTTCAGACCAACAACACTGAACCCTAGGCCACCTCTCTCAGGTTTCATGAGGTCAACCACCTCAACCTCTCGACCTTGAGCCAATGCTTCTACTCTATTTACAAATTCATCATCATCATTAAACCTTGATTGAGATATCTCGTTGATTAGCTTTTCTCTGTTGTCTTCAGCATAATCCAACTCATTGTCAGGTACGACAGGTTCTGCCTGAACTAAGTACCCTGTTCTACTTTCTCTGAATTCCTCTTGTTCAATACTCTCATAGTCAATGTTGCCGATATCATTTGGGAATATTAGCTTCCCGTTAGGATCAAAATCAAAATCCTTAACCGCATCCAGAGATGTGTGGTGCAGCTTGGCATTCAGTTCACGGATCGACTCTTGGATCTTAAGCAACTGATGAAAGAGTGGACTTTCTAACATTACTTTGATCTTTTCAAGTTCTTCATTACTGCTCTCATCACCTTGGGATTGTAGCTTCTTCTGAAATCCATCTATGATTTCTACTGCCTTATTTGTTTCTGTAATGATTTTGGGAAATAGAAATTTCAATTAATATATGAGCTAAGCTTCGAATCCACTTAAGATTCATCACAGAATATAATAAGGAAATTTCAATAAAAGTATGCCACATTTCAAAAGAAGACATAAAGTAAATAGCTAAAAATCTCAACAATTCAATTTAGAAAAATGAGTGTAAACAGTCCAACTAAATAAATCTAATTTAATCGAAGGTCACGTCACTTTAAAATATAAATTTGATTAAAACAATTTCAAACGTTGATAACTAACTCAAATATAAAGGAAAGATAACAAAACTAGTGGCTTGAATAGCAACCTGAATTCCAGTTATAAATTATCAAATTTAGTTTTAAAGAACTGAGAGAGACAACAGTAACTAAAGATGTTAACAAATTGAACATGTCGATGCTAATATAAACTATGTCGTCGTATAATTTATAAATAGCATAAACATATTTCATAGCAGCTAGATATTACCTTCGAAATTCGGCATGTTTTCCTCCAAATTCGTGTTGACCAATACTGTGAGTATGATAACACACTTGTAGTTAATCAGAAAGTTTTTTCGTTTGTAAAACAGAAATCTTGGCGATAAATTACTGTGTTGAACATAAACTTGTCAAAACCAAAAATACCCTGTTCTGTATTCTTCTTGTTGTGGACGTCAAAATATCCCTGTATTTTGATAAAATTCAATCCTTTTGCAGCTTAAATTGATCTAGATTCCAAAGCCATAGCTTTATGAATGCTAGATGTATGAGTAATCCATGGATAATGGAATAATTAGCCGGGAATAAAAGCAAATCTAGCTAACATTCTTGACGTTCTTCGCATTTACAAGTAAATATATGCACAACGACACAACAAGACGCTATGGACACAGACGTGGGGGAATGGACACTATTACACAGGTAGCCCAACGATGGAATTAAAAAAACGACAAAAAACGAAAGTAGAAAATAAATGAATGGGAATGAAAAAGAGGAAAAATGAACAGATTCAATGAATTTTATACAATGTTGAATATTTGTTAGAATCAGGTTTTTTCCCCCACGCTACTCGTGAAAAGTTTAAATGTATGGGAAAGAAGGAATGGGTGAATGAATGAATAAATGAATGAAGGAAAGAGAAGGTATAAGGGGAACGAATTTGATGGAAACAAAGAAAGGCCGAGGTAAGGGGTAATTAGGGAAAAAAGGAGGAGAGTAACGAACTAGGAGGGGCGAATATATTTTTAAAAAAAGGCATAAATGACTGAATAAATTGGCCGGCACTAGCATTCGAGATCTAATAATCCCACGAAAAGTTGGCCTGAGAATTCAAAAAGATTCAAAAAATTTTCTTTTATATGTAAATGGTTCCTATACCTCTATCATAATCTAGAGCCCTTTCAAAGGCTAACTTAAGTCAAGGAAAGCATAGGAAAGCTTACGAGTGTTTAAACCATTTAGAGTGGCTTCTAGTAGGCTTTCAGTCCTTGCATGCCACATTCAGATTCTTCTGATAAAAAAAATCGTAAATAGTTAGCTCTACATCAGTTTTTCTGGATCGGTCAGATTTTCACGAGTGTTGGACTCATATAACTGAAGTTTGTACTAATGGCGCATTTAATATTGATAAGTTTAGTTTAATCAGTTTCCGTATTTGGGTTCAAACTGATCCTCGAAAATAAATACATCCATAACGCAACCATTGTAAACCTATTTATTGAACTCTAATAAATGTACGCATAAAATTCGGAAACACTTGTTTCATGGTTTATCTAACTGATTTGGAGGTAAATACAAAAATGCAAAATAATTGAAACGAAGCCCCTGGAAAATACTCGTGCGCAGGGGCGGATCTAGGAGTTGTTCGGGGGAGTTTGTCCGAACCCCTTAAACCAAAAACGATCCCCTTAAAATGAATACGAACCTCCTTTTTTGGCCATCTTGATTTTATTGAAGCCCTTAAGAAACAATAACATACTCAAGATGTAGGATAATGTAATACGTGTCCGGGAAAGAAGGTAGCCAAGACAATATTTGTAGCAGTTTCTTTCTTTTTTAATTGTTTGGTTGGCCAATAGGTTGTTATCAATAGACGTCACTTCCGGTAATAGCTCTTTTTTGATGTCTTGTAGAATCCTGGAGGTTGTTTTGATCTCTTGTTTTCTGGTTTGATGTCGTGAAAATAGTCAAATACAATAGTTTGAGGTCTTATTTTGATATGTTTTGACTTAACATCCGCTAGTTCAGTATATTCCGGGTTAGTTTTCAAACGCATCCCACATGGAAAGGGGTGAATATGTATGCTAAAACATTAATAACAAAATCATCTTTGCGGGTCTGCTGGTCATAGCAAGGGGTTAATCATCTATGGCCTAGGGGCCGACTAACCTCTCCCTTAGGCTTCGGCCGAGCTTCCTGATCAGCTTGTAAATCCAGGGATAGCGGTGTCGGGGTCGAAATCTCCGGCGTAGCCGTAAATGCTTCGCGCTGCCATACGACGGTTCAGCACTCGATGTCTGGAAGTATGGTCCTACAATTAATTATCAATAAAAAACGAAAAAGAAAAAAAAATCGAAAAACTAGCTTTCCTTAGCAGATCAGCTTGAAGCTCGATTCTTAATTGTGCATGCGAGTTTAGGGTCGTACCTAGTAATTCTTCAATGATAATCAAAGAATAATGAGAACTGCAAATAATGGTCTTGTTTTAGTTAGATGGACTATTATTTCATTTGATATTTTCTTATTCTTTTAATGGGCAGTAATAATGCCTCTTGTCCAATTCTTAAATAAGCCACCCTCACTTCAGGCTCTTCAAACATGGGTTAAGAATATAGTGGACAAAATAACAAGCTAATGTCAGATTCCAGAATTTTATTTGAAATTAGGAGCTTGTATTGTCTCTCTCTTTGGAGAATTGATAAATAGCTTTCACCTCAAATAAAAAGTCGCGTCAGTGTTTAGTTTGTGCATTCAGTGTAAGCCGATCATTGTAAGTCGACACAAGATGATACACCATATGAAATTGAGCCCAACTTGCAGAAGTTGAGTGGCTCTCCATTGTGCGGAGTCGTGGACGGCGACTGGTGTCCAGATACAGTTGGACATTAGAGCGCTGGTCAGTGTTGTTCTATTACTACGCAGGTGTTTTTTGTCATAGATGTGTGTTTATCATCCCAATTCCCTCGCATTCGATAAAGCATGTTTCATCCTTCGAGTCACCTTCACAAGGAGTGACATTAAATTTCGCCTGAAATGTAACCGTGAAAACTTGTATTACCAAAAAACGGTCGAATAATGTAGGGTCAATCACATTTGTATCATTAAAAGCGGTCGCTTAAGGGAGGTCTAACAATCCCTGCGATGGTTTTTCAGAGGGTTGCTAGCATACTATTTTTCTGGTACATCACGGGCAGGGAAGGTAGGCAGGGAAAGTAGGCAGGCTATGTTACCTTGGTTACTAGTTGTGCAACGTGAATGGCTGTTTTGGTATGCATGGTTAGCGGTCCTGCTTTAACATGTGACTTCCCTTCTGCAAGAGCCATCAGAATGATCAGCTGAAGACAACAAACACGAAATAAAATGAAAATTTTGCGCGTTTCCGCAAAGCAGTAGAAATGAGGGGGGTGGGGGTTAGCCAAATGAACAAGCGCAAAGATAAAGGACCCTAGCCACTATGAGGCAAGAGAGGCAGTTGTCACATATACTTCTCAATATTCTATAAAATCGCATTTCCAAGGGTATCTATTTGAAGATTTTTCGGGGAGGGGGGGAATGTCCCCAAATTACCCTAGTTGCTCCCCTTTGCCACTCATTTGACTGCGGTAGACATTTGGTCTGGCTACAGCCCTGGTTTGACACAGCAAACAATACCTGGTCTTGAAGGTGTTCGTCGACACACCCACCAGATTCTAAGTTTTGTACCAGTTGATCTACAGCATCAGCAGCAACCTGTTCTGCTGGAACACCTGCAGAAACAACAGTTGAAGAATATATCAACCAATTCTCCTCGCACAGATTTTACATCAATTTATAATAATTCATTAATTTATAGTGTGCAAACATCAATTTAAGAAAAATTTCAAATGCGTATACCTTTTTTTCCTTTCAAATGCGCATTACCTTTTTTCCCTAGAGCACTGCCAGCTAGTCTGCATCCAGTTGAAGTCTCTGCCATAACTCTAGAATGAAAAATAGGGCAAATGAAATTGAATATCTCAAATTATTTAATGAAAAAATGATGAGAAAAGGCTGCTCAAATTTCAAATTCTCTCATGGCATTCCTGGGTGGGTTGAGGTCCAAGGGGAACAAGGAAACCTCCTCTATGCTGCTTTTTTTTGGTGTTAGCTTAGTTACAGGTTGTACTTACTGTATCCCTGTTCCATTACCCACTGCCTTGTCATGCGATTCTTGTACTGCTTTGATATCAATTGGCACATCACCGTACCGTCTCTTGAGGAGTTTTGTTGCTTCTCGCGCCATTGTTTGGGCAATCTGAAACAATATAAAATAATAAAAATCTAAAATATATCTGTACCGGGGAAGATAGCTACTTGGTTTTCAAAAATCAGTCTTCAGAAAGTAACATTCCCTGAGTGAGTATCTGAGTAAGTGTCGAGTCTGAGTGTGTCAGGCGTAGTCAGTTTCCTTACAATGTGGGGTATAGAAGTGTGCCATGTCCCCCCATGGTATCCCATCATGCATTGTATACATACCTTGTAAGGTAACACCCCAGCAACAAATGCAAAGCCAGTCAGACGAACAAGAGACCCAAATTCTACCATCTGAACTGCTCTAAGCTGTTTGACAGGTTTGACTTTGACGTGAACTATACCGCCTCCTTTAGGATAATATCCCCTACAGATTAAATAGATTTAAGTAAAATAGTCCCTTGGTCTCATTCAGTAAATACTGCTGTGTTTTATAAGGCCAATAGAAGGAATGCACCCATAGCTTGAACAATACCAATGATTTGAAATTCCACAGACCCTAAATGGTATCTGTGAAAAGCTGCAAATGAGTCTGTGGTGTATTGAGAACTGAAGGTTTACAATCTATGGGTACCCTGTGTATGAGGTGACTGAGTGGGGTCTTACACCCAGGAACCATATAAAATAAAGTTTGTATATAATGTATGTATGTATAGACCCCAGGGTGGGCTGGGTAGTCCCTCAAGTATTACAAGTAACTAGGGGTGTTCCACAGAGTATGGTTATTGGGCTTGTCTAAAACTAACATATTTTGATTTGTAGCTAATCTCCAGAGTTTCACTACAACCAAAAGGCAGTGCAAACACGGCCTTCACCTACCATGCCATAATGCCATGGACTTATATATCACCCTTGATTTATTCCCCAATGGTTAGTTAAGCTTGATGCAACTCTGTAATAGTACCTTTTCTCTATTTCAAGATTAAACTGAACCCCAAATTTTTCAGCAGCGGGCTTGAATACCTGTGAACAATGAACATAGAATATGTTTTTGGATTGACAAAATGTTACAGACTGTAAATTTGCTAAATTTGCTAAATTTTGAAGCTGAAACAAGAAACTTAACTCAACTAGAAATGATAAAAAATGAAGCAATCAACTCCAACAGAACAAAATGAAGCATAATACATACATCGATCATGTAGTCAATGGGCGGAGCCATGTCGGCATTTGTTCCTCCTTTGAGTGTCAGTTGAGATGTTGATGGACCATACAGAAGGCATGGCAGTGCCACTTGTATTAATAGGCAGATACTCCTGTAACAGAATGATAATCATCTAATATTTGTAACTGGGGAGCCAATGGCCCAAAAGCCTTACTTGAGGCAAGCCAAAATTTCTGACTAAAATTAGATATATCTAGTTCCAAAACCACGCTTATGTACAAAAATTTAACCTGAGTCTTTTAAAAATACAAGACATATCACTTACAATTTCATATTTCTGGGGGTAGTGGATGGGAAGCAGTTCTTTGTCCCTTGAGGGAGGGGGGGGGGGAACAAATACATACCCTGCTGTCTTAGTATCAGCAACAAAATTTCCCGAAATAATCCTAGATGGATGAAGATTAATAGAAGTAGAGCCAACAGTATCACCGTCAAGTCTTCCAGCACACACATCACGAACGAGCTGCAATCCTTTGATAATGTAAAGATATTAATATTAATTGTATAGCTTGGGCTCCCTGTGGTGTTAAGTCTATGATATATATAATACCTGTCATGTGCTGTGGCCGTAGTCCTGGATTTGAACGTCCAGCACGAATGTTATACACATGTACAGGACAATTTAACAAGCAGCTGAGAGTAACTGAGTTTCTAAGGATCTGTCCTCCCTGAAAGTGTCAGAAGATAAAATAGAAATGTTACCTCAATTTTGGAAGGATGGAAAGTATTATTAGAATCAATTTAAAAAAAATAGTTATATCTTAAAAGCAAGCTGACCCCTTCCATTAAACTGCCATCTATCTGAATAACTTCTTTTTTCTCCTCAGCCATGCTTGATGGAATAAATACTGGAGAAGACTTTAAAACCACTGACTTCAAAGGCAAATGTCTCGTTCCTGACTTGCGTGACTGATTTTTTAAGCGAATATTATAGAAAACTAATTTTGATTGGTAGAATTTAGAATAAATAGGACGTCAGGAATAAATTTTACCCAATCACCAATCACGTTTAATGTAGCATTTACAGGTGAAGTCGAGAAGTGCGTGATGAGATTGAACCTTTTATTTTCGATGTTATTGTTCAAGGCTCGTTCGTCCTTGACTCCAAAGCAAGTTTATATAAACACTACACACTCCATGCTTATAAACACTACATGCTTTAACCAGTATCCCCATCACAACGATGTCAACTGTTTCTACATCAGTTCCGGTAGATGTCAGAAACGAAAAAAGGCTTTATTTTGGTGAAAATTCGCTATTATTAAGAGCGTTTCATCTTCCCCGTTCAGCTTTGAACAACATGGTGAATGTTTTCCAAGTCACGGAAGGAAGAACCTCACTAGTGGCTCAGGCTTATGGCTATTCGACCTGGATATTATCCAAAATATGGCGTGTTGCTAGTTGGAGAGCTATGAAAAATAAAGAATTCTCAAAAGACAAAGGAATGGACGAATCGAAAGAAGAAATGGCCTCAAATGAAGATGCAATTTTCTGTGATTATTTAGCTTCGAATTTCACACTTTCGTGCCTGAGAAATATGTATTTACATTTGCTGGAACGAAACTTTCTTGGCGTTACGAGAGAATCGTTGGAATTATTGAGGTACGAGAGAAAAGTCCTCCAAAATCTACAAGATTTGGAGTTGGTGAAAGCTCTCAAAAGAATTTTTGGAATTCAGTCGAGCGATGAGGAAGAAAATACAAGTGAACTAAAACCCTCGAATTTATCTTTTACCAACATGAAAAACATTGTTTGGACAGCAACAAATATGGCTTGGACATCTCTTTACAATCGCCTCTCCTATTTTATTCCTAAATGGGCTGTGATGAATTTCTCTAAGAAGGCAAGTATATTATTATGATTATACAATATTCAGTACATGCATATTATTATGAAGGAATTTATGAATTATTGATAAACATGATGAACAAAACAACATTTATGCAGGATATTGTTATTTAAATGTTGTTTTTATCAGGTACTGTGCTAATGCTTATATAAGAAAATAGGTTATATTAATTTTGTTCAATCAATCACTGTGTCAACACTACTCAATCAATCTTTTCATATTAATTAAATTTGATATGACCTGTGCACTGTGATTGGTTGAATATGACATGCCATCCATTCTGTGCTGTATGTGCCATATCAACAATGTCACAATTATTTTTGACTGCCAAACTTAACCTTCAGAATAAATAGAAAATAATGTCTTGTTAATACTAACTTTCTGGCTTTTTTTCAATATGCAGGATGACCCAACAACAGAAAAGTCTGTGCCGAGCTCAAAATTCGAAAGCAACAGCAAAGAAATCACTCCAAACTCCAAGTCTACCAGCAACATGGTATCCTTATCAGCAGGCTCTCTCTTACTATGCGAATCCAACCTACTTACCCAAGTGTTATCAGACTCTGGAACATACGCTCTAGAAAGCACGCACAATTTACTTAAAGAGTCACTACTTCTATTTGTGCCGATGGAGATCCTTGAAAGCACAGTAGCACTATTAAAGAACCCTGCCTCTCTGGTTTCAACACCACCTCTTTCCGCACTATGGGAACTTTATAACTATGTTTCTATCTGGGGTTTAGACATTTTTGACGAGTGTTATAACCAACCTGATGTTGAATATGCAGTTATTGATGATGATGATTTTCATTTTATTGTTAATGTGCCAAGAATGAGAAGACCAATTTTATTTATTGGAATCAGGTAGATTGTTTAATAGTGCAGCGCACTGATTCTAAAAATAGCTTAAAGATTCGGACAAACATTGCATTCTGTTTAACCTCTACGAGGATTATACAAACCAATTTTATTATTTTTACTTAAAGTTACAATAATAACCCATGTAAACTAAGATCAACTGCGATCGGCTGTGTAAAACTTGTAAGTTTGTTTGTCCGAATTTCGCCTTTGTCTTTGTTTTTATGACGTCACGGTTGCGCTGCGCTATTTTTAACATCCATACTCTACATGGGTTTTCCCATCACATTCATCAAATAGTCCGAGTTAGTAATTTCTTGGATTGAAGCCAAAAAATAAGTCTCTTTGAGATATTATTATCAACCCTGACTGTACACTAAGCTGTTGCAACACGTTACCAACCACTTGTGTACTGACACCTTACTGTACGGTGTGGGATGATCTAAATAGCCATCTCTGTGAGATATTTATGTTCACATAAAAATATAAACAATCCTGTTGATATTCAACCATTATCATTATATTATGATTATAAGTTTTAATGATAACTGTACATCCTGGGGTCCAGAGGTTATTCTTCCTCTAGAGTTTGCTCTTTTGACAGGAAGTTGCAAGGGAAGTCAGCGCTTGCCTAAACCTGCCTGAATCAAAATAGAACATGCTCAGGGTAATGGGTTCACTGTACGGCATATAAAAAATTGGAAGAAAATATTTTATAAAATATGATTTTTATGTTTAGTTAATACATTAATTATGAAAAAAGGTGAGATATCTGCATATTCACTCTGTGAGTGCTTCAAAACTATAATAATAATAATAATAATAATAATAATAATAATAACTTTATTGATGTCTCGAAATTCTTCTAGCCGGGCACAAGCACCCTACTAATCGTGAAGACAAAAAATACTTAAAAACTTTAGAAAACTAAAACAAAACAAAAAAATACTATGTGACTATATATATAATTATAATTTATGACTATCTGAATACTGCAGGAAGAAATGTAATAAAGTTCACATGGCAATCAAGCTCAAGCGCTAGTTTGGTCATCGATTTGAAATCATTACTGATTACCTCCCAATCACTTACAAGTTATTTTACTTTTCTACAGGTTAAATAAAACTATCATATTCTGCTATCAATTTTTAGAGTCACTTGCCCAATCCTTACACTGGCCATCCTCAAAAATCATGCTTTATTGTGTTTGAAATATCAAAGAAATACAAGATGATCTATCCTTTGATTGTTTTAGAACATATTTAATAAATATATTTTTATTTCATCACTTACAGATATTTAAAAGGCTTCCACTTTCCAGGGAACCTTTAACTGTACATATGAGATTACACCTTAAAACTGTTAAAAAGCACTAAGTACTAACTACGGCCTATTCACACATATCCGGAAATTGTACCCCTTCACAGCTCTGTGCCATCTTGAAAGATAGCCGTGTCTTTGCATCACAGTGAGGTGATCGGTAAGCTCGCAATGATAAAGACCTTTCTTTAACACCTTGGACAATTATTCACGTCTCTCTCCTTGCAAGCTCATCATTTGTCTTGCTTGGATGCAAAGGCACAGCTACCTTTCAAGATGGCACAAGGAACTGTGAAGGGGACTATTTTTGAATCCACAGCTTTTGTTGTGCATGACCTCCCATGACAATTGGCTGGTAAATTTGTTTCAATGTGCAGTGAATATACCCTTTGCACTAATTCCCTTTCCTGGGACCCGTCAAAACAATTAAGTTATCTTCTCTTGAGATTTGAAAAGATTTGTCATGCTTATTTTTCATTGCCGTCCCCCAGATCGACGTCACATGCAAGGGGTCTATATAGCCTCAAATATGAACATGACGTAGCAATGAATAAAGTTGCAGATTCAAAAATATATAGATGTGTGTGAACACAGCCTAAATTAGTGCAAAATACTTTGATTACTTAGTACTTTTCAAGGGTTTTTTGTGTATACTACTGTATAAACAGTCTTCATAAAACTAATCAATATTATTATTATATTATCTAGTACTAATAAACATTTCATTTTGTGTTTGAAATAGATTTGATCAATAACTTTGTTCTAGCACTTTGTATTAAGTGCAAATAATGATTCAAAAATTAAACTTATTATAACTTCACTGTTTTCTTTGGGTGAAAATGATAACATCAATGTATAGTTATTATTAGTATTTTTTTTTATTTTTTTGATGTGACATTAATTTGGAAATTTTCTTAAAATAATAATTTCAATGATGTCTGCATGAACATTAAATACAATTGATTAGACTTCCTGACTTAGATGTTCCATAGAATTCAAGATTTGTTTGGTAGTTCACTAGTAAGTAAGTGATTCACATGCATGGAAAGGTGTCTAGCTTTGGAACCAAATACATTTTGAAGTTTTAAAAACCAGGTGAAGGAGAATATAATTGAGGGTGGTACATTGGTCGTGCACTTGCCTCAAGCATCTGGGGTGCGATTCATGATCTTGGCATCACATGTGAGTAGGATTTGTTGAGTCTTTCCCTTAGCTTGAGAATTTTCTTCTGGATTCTCTGGTTCTCCTCCCTCCACAAAGTCTAACTTGGACTTGGTTTAGCCCAGACTAAGGCTGTTTAAGAGTTTGATAAAATTGCTGTTTGGTTTGTGTTTGTTTGATTTGAAGCATGTGACTATTACCATAATATTATGGATGAGTACTTGATCTTCGATAAGGCACCTCATTCTTTAAACCCCTCACAAATTTTAAAAAACAGCAGTTAAATTGTCTTGATAGCCCTACAAAGTAAAAGCTGTTTGAGTGACAGCATGTTTCGCAGCACATAATTTGGGTTGCGCTTAAATCGCTTGAATCCTACCGAATGATCTGCTTATACAGGGATCTATGTTCAAAAGATTATCAAGATGCTTCTTGCATGAGTAGTGGAGTGGCATCTTGAGTAGCTTCAATTGAACCATCTAGATCACCAGAGTAAATGTATTCCTTTCTTGAGGGTGACTTTGGTGGCCCAGTTAACCCAGCATTTTCAGGTATGAAAAAGGCAAGTAAGAGGGCTAGGATTACAGAACCAGCGCCAAAGAGAAATGGTGCTCCTAAAGTTATATTCTGAAAAACAAATGTAGACAAATGTTAGTCATTCATTTAATTATGTCTTTTCTAATAAATATCCTTTAGGGAAGCAGAGGGGTGCTGCTTATGGGCAGGCTCTCACAATGACGTTCATGTTTGAGTAGAGCTTTTTGTTAGGTTTTCTCAGGATTAGGGCAAACGTTGAACTTTCCATGCACCGAACTTAAATACATCAAGGAATGCCGCCTCATCATCACCTGATATCCATTGTTTTTAATGAGTTCTATGCATGGAAAGTTCGATGTTTGCCCTTGACCTTATATACTTTGACTGGTTTCTCTAGGATTTCCCCACTCAATAAAGTTTTAAAAAAAAGTTTCTTTCTTGTCCACTTGGAATTAACTACCCTATGCTGTATTGTATGTATCTGTGCTTTGTTCAGCAATACTTCAGCCAGGAAGGGATGTTAGCATGAAAGAAGAATGATCCATAGGCATACTTTCTGCCAAGTTGGTAGCATCTGTTCATTAATATAGCACAGTTCTCAACCAATCAAAGTACAAATACCATCTAGTAAAGCTACATAGAGTGCAAACAATTAATCCCCGAAACACTAATTACTAAATTATACAAAAAAGTGCTAATTAAACAATAGAAAACAATGGAATTTTGCATGAAATTGTGCTATTTAGTATTACTAAAGCTTCATGGCTATATTGTTTGCACTCTTATAAGACTCAAATGATTATTTACATATAATAATCAATAATGTCCTTACTTTATCAAAGGGATCTTCCATTCCTGTTGCCGTGTGATTAGTGGATACATTAGGTGTTGGTGTTGGTAGTTCATCAAGGTTGACATGGAACAAGTAGAAAGTGAATCCAAACATGGCTGGTCCAATACCATTACACAGTCCCCTGATACCTGTAATTATCCCCTGAACCACTCCTGAAATGGGAAAAAAGTCACTATGAGTCCCCAAGTTGTGTGTATCAATTAGCTCTTGGGTTTCTCGTTGGGCTACCTGTGGCAAGTAGATTAATTTGACCACAGGAGACTTCAAGAGCCCTCCATTCCTCTCCTCAACCCCTTTCTCCTTCATCACACAGGAGTTTCAAGCACCAAAGAATTTWAAAAAAATATGGAATCCATTAGAAAAAGCTGGATGAATCTTGAGTAGATGGAGTACTGCAGATTTTTCCATCATTTTTCCATTTTTATTATAAGCTCTAATGCAGCATCTCTTAGAAAGGTAAAAGAATATAGAGTTTTGATGAAAATTCTGTTGTTTTACCTTGTTGATCAGCCTCGGCATTACAGGAGACAAGGGCACTAATAGCAGGGTATGTTATCATGGCAACTGATGCTAGGGAACCTGCCGCCCACATCATCCTATTTCAAAACAGAAATATTTGTTAATAATGTAATTTTATCCAGATAAATAATTGACTACGAAGGTCTATTCGTTCCATATTACAATATTTCATTGAACCCTGAAACAACCTCTGGGATTATTTAAGCCACAGATCACATTGGAATTTGGCATACTGGTCATTTGATATTCACTAGTAACTTACCAGCGCTGTGTACCCAAGCCATACCATGATAATTGTAACAGTTGGAATATCAGTCCTATCAGTACAGAATTCTTTAATCCTATTGTCTTCTTTAAGCATGTTAACACTAAAGTCTGCAAAAAAAAAAAAGAAAAGAAAAAAATTAGAAAAACTGTATCAGAAGAGAAATTTTTGGAAATGAAATAACTAAATATCTCATCCTTCCACTTTTCTTTTCTCATACATCATTTTCCTATTCATCCCTAATTTATCCTTTACATAGCTTAATATTTATTGGATCTTACCTGGGCTATTACAGATAAAATTCCTAAAACTGCTATAAATGTGGCTACGTCTTCACTAGTAAAATGAATAACCTGTGAAAATAGCAAAGTTTTTAGTAGAGTAAGCTTTATTTAAGCATTGAAATAACCTTACGTGCCAGTATTTAGAAAAGAAACTTCATGATAATAGCTGTGTCCAGTGGAATAGAGAGAGAGAGAGGTAGAACAGGTGCAGTTAATATGTTGAATATTCACCTTGACTTTCTCTCAGTAATATTATTCTTTGCCATTGGGGAATAATACAAATTATTATTAATAATAAAATGTACAGAGCTCTATTTCAAAAAAGGATGGTAACGGTTTTGCTGCCTACCAAGCTTGAAATGTATTATATTTTTATTTAAATAATGTCAGCACTGAAGAAAATACTGGAAAAATGTGCAGACAAAGTTTGATAAAATTCCAACTGTCGAGACTAATTATCGCTGATTGGATTCACGTCGCCTATAGTGCATTTTGGGCTTGGTATGCAACATACAAAAAAAACCTTCAGCTACCTTTTTTCAAATTGCTTGATATATATATGATATTTTCTTTTACCTGTTTTAAGTACAGGAACATACAAGAATATTGCCCCGCCTCTGGTAAATATGACAGGAAAACTGTTAGAGAGAGAAGGAGTACTGTAGGATCTTGACCAACCTTACGAAGAGACTAAAAAACAAAAAAGAAAAGATCCTTATTTTTATAGTGCATTTTCATGTTTTGATGATTCAGATTCTAGCAACCAGCCTGATACCATCGACGCTACACATGAACAGAGTTTGTCTGGGGCCCCGTCCCCACTATGCTGGATAAATTTGAATCTGAATTATTTTTATTTATTAGGTTAGGCCTACCGTCCACACTAGTCCCGGTGAATCCGGAACAAATTCTTCACTGAAAATCAATTTTTTTGAATACGGTCTCCAGAGTGGAACAATTTGAAAATGCCGGCTAGCCGTATTAGTGTGGACAGAGAACATTTTGTATCCGAAATTTTTCGAATACGGTGACGTGATGATTGTCATGGGAACATGGCGGGAAAGCTAAAAATTCACTGCTGGCTCAATTTCAGCTTCAATGCACATGCTCAGATGTGCAATGAAGTGTTTTTGCTGCCTCTGATCGGACTAGTGTGGACGCGAAACAATTTATCCATTTTCATGTGTGGACGGAAATCGTTTTTTTCTGTTTCAGTGTGAAAGTTGCAGATTCAAATTTATCAGGCATAGTGTGGACGGGGCCTGGGTTCTCCATTTTTGTCCAGTTCTCCAGTTTTTGTCCTCCGTTAGAAATTAGCATGTTAGCTGAGAGTCGTGGACATAGAATTAATATTAAAAGAGCAAGTGAGTACTAGGTTATGTCATTGGAAACCAGTAATTATACTGCTTTTCTGCCTCGATGCTGTAATTAATGATTATTAATAATTTAATAGTTTATAGATAATAATGATATGGGTATCAGTAAACTCACAGCAAAAGGGTCAGCCTGTTCCCATGATATCGGTGCACCCCATGACGCAGGGCGTATCCTCTCTGATAATGACTCGGGTACAGCCACTAGTATAAACAAGATATCTAAAGATGCTACTGCAGTTGCTAAGGCAATAACAATATTGTCATTGTACTTGTTACTAAGAAATGCTCCTAATGCTGGACTGATGATGAGACTTGCTGCAAAGGTGGCTGAAACCTGCAAAAGGGAATAGTTAGAATAATAATTTGTATAAGAAATCTAGCAGACTATTGCAAATCAAGTAACCTTCTAGTGGTCTGTTTCTCATAGCCCAAGGTAGAAAAAATATTGCACATTGGTGAAACGTGAAGCCAAAAAAATGTTTAACATTCCACTAGCAAAGATTTCAAGGGTTTTATTATTCCATTCTTCTCTTGTAAATAAAAATTAAACTTACAAAAATAAATTATTGTATGAAGTGGGAAGGAAATATTCTAAGAACAATGACAATATGATCAACTGAATCACTAGCAATTGGCAGGTTTTCTTCCATATTATCCAGCATTCCTTTCTCTCTCTGTATAAATTAACATGTGCACTTTAAGAGTTGTATATAATGTAATTAAATGAATGTAGTAATAGTGTGTGTGAGTAACAGGATGTCAAATTAGATACCTTGACAATACTTATACTGAATTTATTCCCTCACAATATAAATAGATTATTACACATAGACATACCAGACCATATGCAGTACTGCGCTCATTCTGATCAGTACAATCAGCAACATATGCGAATACAATAGAGAATGTAACAGAAAAGATTCCTGACATTGAGATCATAGCAAAGAACCACCTAAAATAAACAGAAACAAAAAATGGTTTCTCTTTCAGATTCTTGCATTTTGGATAGAAAACATGTGTTCACATAACACATAAAGAAAGTCAAGAAAATATTCTCTATAAGTCGTAATTAATCTTACCAAGGGTTAAACTTTAATAGAGGAATAGGACAACACGTAAAGAAAACTGTCAAGAAAAGAAATGATTTTCGGCCCCATACGTCTGATAGAGCACCCAGAAGCGGAGCACTTAAAAATGATAAAATACCCTAAAAAAAATACACATAGGAAATTGCAATTACTATTGTCATAAAAATCAAGAAGAAAGCTCAAAATCAAAGAAGTACATCCATATGTTAATGTACAGAGCACAACCTTTTTATTTAATAAAATTTATACATATTTTTTTATCTAACCTTAATTCCATGTACCAAGCCGTTCATCAAAAACGTGTGGTCTGGAAAAGTGTCATTTAACACCTATAATAATAAGATTTACATAAAATATATGTTTCATATATATTCTCATGAATACAAATAAACATAGAAGTTAAAAAATGTAATTTAAGAGTGGCTGTCCGTAACGGTCG